TCCGAGACACCCATTCAAAGAAACCTCATTGAATCCAACAAAATCTACGCCGCAAATTTCACGCAAGGTGATCTCGCCCTTCCACCCGCCAAGAAACATGCCGTTGGTACATAAACACTTTCCAAAACCCTTTCTTCAATTTCTGAATCTTTCTAACATACTCCAGTAACATTTATGGACGCGCGTATCGACCCTTCTGCAGCCTTCGGTATTGCCCTCGGCGACGCCCATGTAATCCGCAACGCGGGCGGTTCTGCACGTGATGCCTTACGCTCGCTTGTAATTTTCCAGCAATTGTTGGGGACGAATGAGATTTTGCTGGTTAAGCATACGGGATGTGGAATGCTTACGTTTGGGAATGAGGATGCGGTTAAGCTTGTGGAGGAGAGGTTGGGGGAGGGGGCGAAAAAGGAGTTGGATGTTTTTGGGGGCGAGTTTTTGCCGTTTGTGGATCTGGAAGGGGAGATTAAGAGGGATGTGGAGTGGTTGAGGGGGGTGGAGGTTCTTCCTGAGAAGGTGGGGGTTAGTGGGTGGGTTTATGAGGTGGAGAGTGGGAAGGTGAGGAGAGTGATTTAGGAGGTTGTATGATGAATCACTCGCGGGTTGTGTTTTGTTTATTTTGAATATCGATTATACCTTCCTAGTGTTGTAGGTATTCTAGAGTAATCGAAGACAGACAAGGCAGACACTAGTGTTGTGATGTTGTTCGTCATTTCATTTGGTTCAAGAGGAAATTACATTTCTATTTCGCTAGTGATCTTGTTTTCAACCCTCCAAGTTTCGTCAGGTGTTTATTGTTCCGCACCTGCATGTACATTTCGAATGTCTGGGAAGGGAATCATCAATGTTTATCCCTTCTTTCACTCTTATCATTCGATCTCCTCCTGCCTTATCATACGCCCCCTCTAATCTGTGAATGTGGAATCAAATTTTGGTCAAAACGATTCTTCGTCAAAACGGGAAAGCAGAAAAGAGTAGCACTCAAACTTGTGCATACACTCAGGTAGTTGAGTGAGCCAGGAAGTAACTACTCGATTTAGATATAGGAAGAAATCCGAACATCTGAAGAAGTAAGGCTATTGAGGCAACACCATGTATAGATAGTAATTTTATATACACGTAGATTCTGGCTTTTAATATTTAAACCCATCTTCATTGTTCCTTTTGACTTAACAGAAATCCTTCCCACCACCAATCTCACAGTCCTCATGTTGGTGCTATTCCTGCCTTTGTTTCTGAGCGTTGTCGAAGCTCTATTGAAACCAAATCTGGTAATAGCGACCAGAAGCCATAGCAGATGGCAAGAAGTTTACTTTTGCTATTGCCAGCAGGAAAGGAAACACCGACCGAGAATTGTTACGACACGGACTTGGTTCTGACTTGCAACCTGCAAGTCAACAACCAAAGATTACGGTTGCCTTACTTGGTCAGAACAAACAAATCCTCATAGTGACCCAGGAAAGTGGAAGTAACAACTCCAAATTTCTTCGAAAGGTCTTTCTCAGTATGCTTATGCCACTAATATCGTCGTAAACTTCTTTCCTAATGTGGCGCGAATCAGTTACTCCCGCCTGATCAATATGCGACTAAATTAGATCATTCGGAGTGGTATAAATAAGCACCAATGCTTTCTTTTCTCCTTCATCTCTCTTCTCTTCTACATCATTCATTCATCAACTCATTCAAACCACATTTCCACCCATGTCGCTCAACTTTCGATACATCTTTCTGATGTTTATCTTTCTATAGATATCACCTTCCTCCAAGTATTATCCTCGAATTTATTTCATCTTGCCAATCATTGATGGTGCTCGCAGCAGCATTTGTGCATGTTTTTGCTTAACTTAAAGGTAGGGGGCATCTTTTCACGGGTTCTATCTAGCACAAGGTGACAGCGTGGCGGTCAATGGAGACGTCCTTTGGTAAGGGGTTCGACTCCCTGAGACCTGTGCGACGTTTTACTTTGTGACGAGACCTTCTGTACCCCACTACAGTCGTTCAGCTTGCTGGACCAATCCTACTCAGTGGACGCACTGACCCCCTTTTCTTTCCCCCCCAGGACCCTTTCTATTAGGCTCGAGATCCGACTACTCTTGCTACTGTCAACTCTCCTTTTCCAATAGAGTTTTTCCTACCAATCTTCGCAGCGCGATCAGCTCTTACGTTCCCCTCGACTCCTGAATGTGCAGGAACATATCGTAACTCGACCTCAACCTCAAGTACGTTCAAAGCTTCGGACGCAATGATCCCCGGTACAATCAGTTGCTCTGCATAGGCAAGTTTTTCCAATCTTTTTAGTGAATTCCGAAACTGATCAAATTGTCTCAGTGCATCACAGCAATCGCTGTAAATTATGATTTTACTCGGCTTTCGTTCAGCTCCTTGATTGCGACACATGTCCCATCCTATCTCAAGAGCTCTGACGATAGCATATATTTCGAGAAGATAGGTCGAAATTTGGCCTCGAATACGCCAAGAAAGATCGTCCCATACATACTTGGAGGAGCGGTAAGCAATGCCTATTCCACAATCAGAAAGCTCGTTGCGAGAACCATCAGTCCAAAGAACTAATCTGTCTTCATTCAAGTAGGAATCAGCCTCTTTTGCCGCGCTAGCAAGTGCAGTTTCTCTGGGCTCAATAACAACGACTCCTTTGAAAAGTTTGTTCTTCAGATCTCGTTTGGTTTTACGTCGTAGGGAACCTATTCGGATGCCGCGGATCGGTTTCGGTGCCACGAGACTGCCTATGGTTGACTGGCCACAACCAACAACATGTGTATCAAGGGAGGTTTGTTTGTTGGTACCACAGTCCTCTTGAAAGTTGTCGAGCACCTTGCGCCTTATGTTTGTTCTTTAATATACCTTGCTGTCGCTCATGTTCCCTTCGGACTTTTCGAGCAATACGAGATGGGCGGACCATTCTGTGGGTAATGGAGGAAATTCAAGCAGGTGCTTTGTATTTGATAGGGATTCTGGTCAGATGCTTGGTGAACTCTTTTATGATAAGAATCTCTTTTCTGCTTCAGATAGTGTGTCCAACCAAGTATGTGATTGTACTGACACTTCTGTTTGCAAACAATTGCAAGGGATATATGTGTAAATCGATTTGGGAGAAATATGAGTTTTTGTGTAGTATCTTTGTATATAAATTGTATGTTCTTCTTCTGACAGACAATTAAAGGGCGTAAATGGTTGATTTTTTTTATTTTGTTGATGAGTTTTGATTGGTGATGAGTATAAAATTATTTATATGTTAAGAGAAAGTTGGAGAGGCGCTGCCTTGTGGGTGAAAAATGAAAGATAAGACGGAGAGAAGATAAATTCTGAATTTGATGGAAAGAAGGAGGGTATGAGAAGACAAATTATACATGGGAAACAACCACAACTAGATACTTACTAACTTAGTTAGAGCTGAACTAGTTCTGCTAGTTCGGCGATAGTATAGACTTGTTTAGTAAACGAAGCTCAGGTTCACTAGCTAAACATGTGTTGAACGATCGGTGCTTTCATCTTTGAAACTTGAAGTAGAGTGGTTCTGTAAGGGTATGAATTGTATGAATAATCAGTTATGAGATGGAACTTCTTCCAAATACACACAATCTAGCTTCAATCTTCAGCAGACTATAAAGTGATGAAAGATTTTGGTCCTCGAAACAAACATCGAATTCAGATCTAGCCTATGATGATTTTCGCGATCGTAACTTACTCTGATAGAATATGAAGATTGTATTTGTTGTAAACCCCCAGTGCTATCTAGACAATGTTGGTAGTCGTTAAAAATAATGTCGCTGGAAGTGGTATTAAGGAGCGTCCACGTAAGCGAAAGAAATGAGGCAGAAATGAATATCTTCAGGAGAGCTTGCGATTCAATTGTCACCTTTGAGTTCTATCGAATTCTAGTTTGTTAGAAGTCATAGATTATACAGTAACTAGATACCGTTTCGCTTCATGTTTTTGAACTCTTATTTATAATTCCGATCAATCAATAAGTCGAAGTACTCAATTGCGCACACTTATGTACTTCGCTTTCAAAAAGGGAAGATGATTTGGGTATCTTATGCGACAATACCCATATATTTTCACTTTCAACAATGTCTAGCACATACGACCATAGACTGAAGAGAATTGGGCATCCCGTCCGCTCTGCCATACACAAGCTTCAGATCGGTGGATTAGTAGTTGGGTGGGTGACCACCAGCGAATCCCCACTGTTGTATGTTTTTGCATTTTTTGCTCATTCGGGGTGGGATATGAAGGAGGAGGACGGTAGGGAGCGACGGCCGAGGACTCCTTTGACAAATGTTGATAGTCGGTTGGTAGTTTGTGAGAAGTGTCTTGAATGCCGTTTCTTTCGTTGAATGAGCGCTCAGCGTTAATTCTATACAACCCGCCCGTCGAGGTCATCATGGGGTCCATTCTATCACCTGCATGTGATACTTTTTAGTCATTCACTGGAGATTTGTAGTTATAGAGACTACGGTCCTCCAGTCATTCGGTATAACTACTCCAGCAATAAATTTCGTGATCACATTGTTCATGTCAAACGGGGAAAGATTAATCAGAAGTACAGTCACCTCGCACTGCTACTAGCCGCTTATCAGAATCACATGAAAATTTATCAAAACTCATAGAATATATTTATCATCTTGATATGATAAATCTAATATTTCTTATAATTTAGGTAAAATTTTTTAAATTCAAAACTATTCATTTTATATATAATAAAAATAGTGAAATAACTCAGTAGCTGGTAGCAGTACATTAATTCATTTGATTGACTGAAATTTGAATTTTCCCGGGACAGTGAGAACAATTCTAACATAGAAATTCTTGTAGCTACTTTTCAATTAAAAACAAACGAAGAGGTGAAGGCAAATCCACAGATTTGATCAAAAACAAGATATAATATAAATGCACCCGGAGATGTAATGAATGAATATCGTCCCCGACAGGCTGTCATCGCCTCGTCTTCTGACCCCTACTGCGAATTCCAGTATCCATTACTGATCATCTGCAGACACGCCGACTTCCTGCCCAAAATTCCGAGCGCTGCTGTCCAGGACTTCTCTCGTGAGCACATTCTCAAATTCAGCTTCAGAAGTGGATTCATCTCCAATCTTTGTTGATGGAGAGATAAGCTGAGAAATTTGACTTGGAGACATGTCCGTTATGTCGTTGGTTGTAATTATCATGTTTCCGGAAGCGACGCCGGAGACAGGCTGCGCTGCTCCCTTGGGAAACATGGCTCTGAATCCAGTTTTCGTCATGAATGTGTATTTGGGACGAAATTCAACGTCAAATGTGCCCTTGTAATACAATGCCGTGATTAGATATGTCTTCCCAGGGGGAACTTGCATCGCTGCGGAGATATCGGTCGTCTTAGTAATTGAATAAGACGATGATTCACTTTTGTCCTCGCTGTATGTATAATCTGTGCTGGCGTCGGCACCGATTCCAAAAATCTTGCCTGAAATACTAACAGATATCCCTAAGCTTTCTCTCCAGGTCTTGCTGGTGGTTACAGAGCTCGTGACGGAGACGCTCTCGCCGATGTTGACACTGGCATCACGCGCCCCTTCCTTGTTGTCTTTAGTCACCTTCAAGATTGACACATCGGTCATCCCTCCTTTTGGCATCATCAAATAATTCATTTCAACAAGACAGCTTTGAAGATCGTCTAACATGCCAAGTGAGAATGCATCAAATTCATCACCCCTTCGACCGATTAAAGCGACGATGAAACCGCTGCGAGAGGGTTGCCCATGTGATTCTGAGGTGACTTTACCAGCCGTGAATGACCTCCCTTGGGCGGTAACTATGGTAAAGCCAGCATAGAAACCATCATTCGTGTACGAAGTGATCGACTTCACTAGCTCCCCATATGCTATCGTAAAAGTTTTCAAAGTTCCATTGGTATTACCAATCAACGGTGATGGTGCCCCACTAACATGGGTGAATCTAATACCCATGAAAGGGTCGTAACGATCGGAATCGGTCCAGGATTCAATTTTGAGACCGGATCATGTACTCGAACGTGTGTAAATGGCGTTCCTCCCGGTCCACCAACTATATAATGGCACCAGGCTATTGGCGCCATCGAGATCAGTTGCTGGTGTTGATTAAATCGTTGAGGCAGTAAAGGTGCAGGTTTTGAATCTCAAAGAGACGTTGAATTTGCTGAAGAGGGAATCCTCTCCCAGATATTCCCGAGTACCGAGTACTTATATAGCATGATTCGAGTCGTGCAGGTGAAGGGAGTGGATATAATTCATATCACATATAGCATATACCTGCGTCCTAAGTTGCATTGCACATGTCTAGAAACAAAGCTCGCAGCATAAGTTCATGAATAATTATTCGTATGTCTTACTCGAGATTGACAGACCCTACATGCCGACAACGCAGATCCAGTGTTGGCACTTTCTATATCTTGCGATGAAGAGTATGCAGTCACCACTAATAAGTTAATACCATCGTTATAGATATATAAAGGAATTTTCAATGATCAATAACCCTGATTTAATACTGTTACCTTGCGAATCTTTTTGATTTCTTGAGGATTTCCTTGAAATCTGAGAGTTTTTCTAGAAGCTTTTCGATTTGATGAAAGACGAGAGCCCGTAAAACGTACTTACCAGAGTATTAATTCCTAGTTCATGTAATATTTCTGTGTGGTATCACGATGAGACCTATAGGTGAGGCATGATATACTCGAGTCAGCTCTCGATGCGATTTCCCCTCCTTAGCCTAACTCGGCTAGCTCCCCCCACTTCTCCAGCTGCCCCTCACCATTTACTGTCAGCTCCCATTGCCGCGAAACACTAGATTCTTCAGCTCCAGAAGCTCTAACTCAGTTCACTAAAGTTTGCATTGTCGTATCTTCTAATAAAATGTAGTAAGGAACGGGCCGCATTTTTAGTCGACCCTACCTGTCACTAACGAACAATCCTTTAATCTCTCATTTGCGCAATAGAAATACATGGGGGGATTCACGTTGATGATCTTTTTTATCGCTCTGATTAGATATGCTATCTTAGAGAGAGAAACGTATTATGACCACTACTTTAGCTTCGACGAGTAAGTTGATATAACACAATGACAACACCCAAGTAGGAAGTTAAATGATTAAAGGTCCAAGGGAACGCACACTTATGCAATGATACCACGCAAGAAGATCTCGACATTGACAGGTTGAAGGTATATATGAGAACATCAATATCGAGTAAAGCATGCACGGTGATACTGGTGGTACCTTGTGAGTCGCCCACTTCAGAGGAAAGCACTGGCACACCACCAGTCAGAGCCATTTTTATGGTCTGACAGCTCAATATATATCTATGACGGCAGTAAGTGATTGGTTTACACAGACGCACCTGTAGGTCGAATTTCACAGACTAAGACAGGTATATGTCTTAAAGCTAAAAAATGACATAAGTGGGCTGTTTCTTCATTGCAAATTTTTTTGCGTGACCATTAACAGGGAGATTGGAAGTAGTTGGATGCTTGGTGGTATAGTCAGGATAAGACTACACAGTTTGATGAGTTGCAAAAGGATCTACCCATCGAGCTGTAAAAAATGGTGGAGCGTTGTGCCCACGAGCCACAAGATATGACAATTATGTGTTTCCATGATTTCATGTCTAATTCTTCGTTGGAGCCAACAATACAAAATCACTCGATTCTTGAGCGACAGGGGGATCTCCACTAGGATATACATGTATACATGAATGAGAGAAGGTAGCTAGCGCCGTAGGAGAAGGATTGACCGGCAGTGAGAGTTTGTCGAGGTTTGCTTTTGCAATTCTATATAGTTCACCTTTAATTGAAAAGAATGACAATCGAGATCGAAACCCGAATCAAAATGAAGTGCGTTGGCATTTAAATTCATAAATTAAGCGGAGTAAATTAAACTCGTCTAATTCTACAATCTGGTCGTGATCGTCGTTAAAATATGGATATCTTTTTTGCCCGAAATATGGAAGAAACAATCCATAGCCGTAGCTATGAGTTCGCTAAATGCATAGCATCGTTAATCATCATTAAAATGAATCGGGAAATCGTCGAAAATAAAAAGAAAAACAAAGGGAAAAGAAAACATTAAAACACATGATCCAACCGTCACCGCTAAACCCAAAGGGTATCAATTATTTCATCACCACTCCCATTTAACCCGGACCCCTTTCCATTCATTTCTTCATCCGCCATCCCGTTTTTGTTTTCTTTCATGTTTTTTTTCTCTTCAAATAACATTGGCATCGGGCATACTGCTCTGCAAACTAGCAGGAGTTCGGCTCCTATCACTTCTCCTGTCCATGTCCGCTCCACTCGCCGGGCTATAAACCCTTCCCACTGGTCCTTTGCCCATTCTGGGTTTGGCAACTAAAACCTGAGCAGGACAGACTACGATTTCCTCATCGCCTTGTCCTAAATCATCACCCTTCTTCACCACAAGTGGAAAGAGTACAACTCTGACGACAGCTCTTTGTGCCTCGAGTTCTTCGTTAGAAATGGTATCTCCGCTGCGTTCATTCATGAGTGCAGCGTTGAAGGAGACTTTGCTGGCGAGATCGCCATTGGCATCATATTCGGGTTGAAGTGGTGGTAGCATCATGTATTCTGCGCGTTGAGTGCGCATTTCTATGGAAAGATCAACGGCAGCTTTTATAACACGTTTGAGTTGTTCCTCGATTTGATTTTCAAGGTGACTAGGTGGAGGTAAGATCTCTGTTAGGGTCTCTAAAACAGCATGCACCACAGCTAAAGTATCTTGTTCTTTTTGTCTGGCGAATGAATCTCGTTTGGACAACAAGGTCAAAGTCGTAGCACGCCATTGATGAACGGCTGATGGTGGCCCAACTTCAGACAATACCTTCTCCAATGACTTGAGCTTTTGTCTTTGTTCTCGATCCATGCCAAATAAGTAGCGAGTGAATATGAATTCCCACACCATTGTCATTGTCATTGACATGAAGACATCTCGTCTCCTCACTCTATCCGCAAGATAACTATCCACATCTGAGCCATCTAGAATGGCATTATCGAGTCGATCAATGGTTTTATCGTTGTTGATTTCGCTCGTGAGTCTACAGGCTCTCATGTCAGAGAACTTTGAAAATCTAAGTACCCATTGCTGAACATGTTGGCAGAGTTGTTGACAAGCATTATCGAAATAGTCCTCGTCTCGGATGATCAGGAATTGAGCGTCACCTGCTTTGGCAGCTAGAATTTCCCTCTGCATTGCCCGGATTTGTTCCTTGGCCACATCCAATTGAGATCGCAATGATGCAATTTCCTGGTCCCTTTCTTGTATAGCGTTGTGTATGATGCCTTGTACTTCGCTTTGTAGGTTGTGATGAGCCTCGCGGGCCTGCTGGAGTTCGCGTGAAGTTTGTGCATGTTGTGATTCGAGTGTGCCATATCTTGCATTATGTTGTTGACCCAGTGTAACAGCAGCACTAGAAAGACCCGCATTCACTTCAGTCAATCTTTTGACCTCATCTTGCATCGATGACAGTGTTCGTTTAAGTAAATCGATTTGCGCATCCCTTTCTACCAAGGCCGCAGGTGCACCTTGGCTTGATCGGAGCATATGTTCGGCATGAGCTTTAGATTCGGCGAGCGCGCGATTTTCCGCAGTTAGTTGATCCAATTTTGATTCGAGTTCCAAGACTTGCATACTTTGTCGTCGTCGCATACTGTGAGGTCGAGTTGGGGATCGTGGTGAGCCCATGTGGCCTTCACCATAGCCATCCTACATTTTTTTATTAGCGGTGAAAATTTTTCATCTTCAGATTTGTACCAACTTACGTAGACATCGGCCATATCTTGCGCCCTGGCTCGGCCCTCATTTGCAGTTGGATTTGCAGTATTTGTTGAGGTTGTCGATGTAGCGGTATTGATGGAGGCTGGATCAATTTCCTTAGCGAGATCAATGTTGCTTTGTTGACGGAGTGATCTTGGATCCCCGCTAATTTTCCGGGCGCTACGACGAAGTGGCGGTGTAAACGAACGATTGGTCTTAGCGCTATCGGGGAACTGTGGCGCTTGAGGCGCATCTAATGGAACCGGCGTTCGCAATCGAGTAACACTGATATTTGAAGCGGATCTTTGACTTTTGTGACTTTGAGCACTTAAAGGTCGGCTTTCTTGACTTAACTTCCTTGCTGCTGCAAATCCCGATCCTGCTGCTGCAAGAGCTGCACTTCCAATTAAAGATGGAGAACTCTCGGAAACACTTCGCTGCTCAGTTTTAGAAGTTTTGGGGGTTTTGACTGGCTCAAGGTCCCCATATTTATTTTCCTTTGGTTTGCGGTACTGGACATCAGGAAATTCGGAGCGGTGGACACGATGTCTTCTATGTTCTTTTTCTGGCGTCACTGGTTTGTTGATTGCTTCTGCTCGGGGAGGCTCAGATAACTTTTCCTTGGATTTCGTTTGGAATGCCTTAAGCCTTTGGGATCGGACAAAGTCTACATGATTCGCTTCTGCGAGTTCTCCACGACTTAAAGAAGTTTTGCGAGAAAGCTTATGCTTTTCTTCATGAGGTGAATGTGCTCTGTGAATTGCCTGCGTTCTATGTAGATCTGTGTGCCCCTCTTCTTTGTGTCTCTGAGATGGCAGATCATCAATTCCATGGCCATGACGTGTTAAGTCCTCCACAACTTTTGGTCGTTGTGGCTGTTCAAGATTAACCGTCCCAGCATCTTCATCCACAGAAGGCCACGTCATGCTATCGATAGCTGCATCGGTTGAAGATACGGGTGCTCTAACACGCATAGAAGGTGAATTGTCTCTTAAGTGAATGCCACTATCACGAATGTCTTCATGCTTGTCTGCGAAGTTTCCTTGAGGAGGATTTGGAGAGTCGCCGATAAAAGCACTGTCTCTGTTTCCTACATTGAGAGCATTCTCATCCTCTGATTCTTCTCGTAGCATTGTCAAGCCAGGTGTTCCAGGTCGAGATGGAGGACGGGATCTTGATCTAGCTCTTTTAGCTCGTTCGGCTATCGGAGAGGAGATTGGCGAAGGACTGGTTTCTCTAGCTCGGGGCTCAACAATAGTATTTCGCAAGGCTTCTTGGATTGGTGCCGGTAAAAGATCTAGGGAATCGTCAACTTCGATTGACTTCTTCCTTCTCTTCTTCTCGATATCTCTTCTCGATGGTCTAGAGAGGTACTCTTCTGGCAGATCTCCTCTTGGTTCGCGTGCAGGTGGTGATCGTCTCGGGCTCGAAGAACTGCTCGAAGCATAAGTTTGGGCAGCTAGTGCTGTTTCTTGAGGTTTGTCGTCATTGGGATCGAAATTACGAGGTGGCGTGGGTGTTGTACTTTCACGATCTTCCATTATCGAGGGTTTGGCAGGAATCTGCACCATTTGTTCTTGAGGGGCACCAATCTGCTCGGATTCTTGTAAGATTTGGCGTTCTACAATCGTAGGCTCAGCAGGAACTTGTGTCGTTGGCTTCTGGACGGGTTCCATTTGTTTTGGCTGGTGGAAAATGGTGTTTTCATCTCCCGCATGCTCAGTGGAAATCTGTTCCGTTGGTTCTTGAATGGTGTTGGTCTCCTCTGGCTCATGCAAAATAGAACGTTCCACCTTATTTGACTCGGATGTTTCGGCGACTTCTTTTTGCTGCATCGAATCCATCTGCTCCGGCTCTTGAGTGAACCTTGTAATGTCGAGAACGGGGCTAAGAGATCTAGGAGTTCTAAACTCTTGAGGTTCCACAGCAGCAGCCTTGTCAGATGTCTCAATCATTGGATCCTGGAAGTTCTCTATTTGCTCTGGTTCTTGCACAGTCGTATTTATTTCTCGAAATCCATCACTGTCATATTCATCATTCTTCTCTACCGATTCATCCTTCACCTCGTCAGAAACTTTTGAGTCCATGTCTTCCCGTGGCACAGAATCATCAGATACGTCATCACTTGGTGCTATCTTGTCCATACTTAGTCCATGCTCTTCCTCCTCAGATAAAATTTCCATCATAGGGCTTTCATCTTCCTCAACAGCTCCAACTTCTGATTCCTTACTCTTGCTAGCCAAGGTTGCTGCACTAACAATTGCCGCAGTCGCGGCTACTACAGACGGCATCTCTTTGCGCTCCTTCATTGGTTCAATTTTTGATAAATCTTCCCCCATTGATGATTGGAAGTCTTTGATATCGGTTGATTCTCTTCTCGTATTCTTCTTTCCTTTCTTGGCGGGTGGTCTAGAAAATTCGTTCGCGTCGGATTCTTTGACCGTGCTGGCAATATGAGAATAGAATTCATCTCGTCCAATATCTTCAATGACTGGTACAGCCCTGGTAACTTCTGCTTCGGGAACCTCATCTGCCCAAAAAGTTCGTTGATCATCTTTGGGCGTTTCCAGATTTATTGTTGCTTGACGTTTTCTCTTGTCTTTCTTGGAAGGGACTTGTACTAATGCAGTAGATAGATTTTTTGACTCATCGATAAGCGGCTTGAATGAAGATGATGAGGGAGGTGAAGTCATATCTGGTTCCGCAATTGGGTTCGATGCTGGAACGATGTTTCGTATTGGAATAGGAGAAGTCAGGAGACGCTCCCCGGGCTTGACATCTTGTAAATCGGATACCGCGACGGTATTGGCCAAGGCTGGGATTTCCGGCTCTGGATCGAGTTCTCTGCTTGAGATCCCCTTGCCCATTTTATCGTTCTTATCGTGTGACATGTCAAAAGGATCATGCTCGGAAACAATTTTATCAACCTGTGGAATCTGGAAAGATGTATGAGTATCAGGTACGTCCTCAATAGTTGGAAGTAGCTCTTCTAGCTTTCCAGAATTTGGTGGAATATCCTCAGGAAGCTCAGTAGCAACATTGGGAACCTCGGGCTCCAATGGGGTAGACAAGGTAGATTTAAGTATCTCCTTGTCCTTTCTCGATTTCTTGGTAGAACTCGAACCCCATTCGTCCTCGGTTTGTTGTTGAGCTTCCTTTGGCATCTCTCCAGTGGGAATGGCCTTAAATTCATCGAGTGTTATCTCTGTAGGTACTGGCTCCACAACATCCGGTACTCCTATTTGGGTGTCTTTGGGGATAAACTGTACCGGTGAAGAAAATCCAAACTCACGATCATTTATATCCTTGGAATTCTTGGTCAAGACCTCAGTGACATCATCATCTGCTGGTCTGTGCTCTTCCTTTGGATGCTCTCCATTCAGCATCTCTCGTGATAAATCATTTTTTGACAACTCATCGACTGGAATTGATTTGTGCTCGTCCAGTGTAACATCTTCAGAATTAGGAAACGCATCATCGTTTTGTCGTACGGTCTCAGGCATAGGGGCTGGAACGAATTCTTCTTCGTGAAGTGGCTTGATAACTTCCGGAATGGATTGTTCTGCAGGTTCTTGAGTAAGTTCTTCAAACTCGGGCTCAATAGCCTCAACAGGCTCTCGTGAAGCCCGAGGGGTCAAATTCATCGGAGTATCTTCAATGGGAAAAGATTCAACAGCGTCCAAGAACGACTCATCATCGGTCTCTGTTATATCCCCGTTTGCCAGTTCTTTTGCATCGTCTCCCATGGATGACTTATCTGTGATCTCAAACGGCGTATTTGTGATTTCTGAGGCCTGAGGCGCAACATCAGGTTGCTCTTTCATTGGTTGCAAGACATCATCAACCTCCTTTTCCACCTCTTTTGACTCCTCGATCGGCTGAGCCCATTCATCTCTTTGTATTGATCCAGTCTCGGCAGCCAGACTTTCGGTAGGACGCTGACCATGTACAGGATCCTCAAGGGCAGAATCGATAACTTGTTCATTGGCAATTGGTTCTGTATTCGATGTAGGTTCAACAAGATCTGGGTTGATTTGCTCCACATTTGCAATTGGCTCAAGATTTTCGGAAACGACATCTGGCGAGCTTGATACAGGCTCAATGACAGGATCAAATGGTGTTGACTCGGAGACGATTTCTAGCGCTTGATTTTCTGGTACTTGGGAAGTCAAAGTAACGTTGCTGGGATCTCCGGAGGTTTCTGAAATGTCCAAATTCTCTTCTCGTTCCTCCTTGTCTTTGCCAGATTCATTGAGGAAACCAGGTTCGAGATCCCTCGCTGATTCTTCAGGTACAATAGTCAAACTTGACATATCTGATTCTAACTTCGTTGGCTCAACCGATGATTCTTGTGGAATTGTCATATCATCCATGGGGTTTGACTCGGAAACAGGCTCTTCGCCGTTGATCTCTAAAGGTTGACGAATTGATTGCTCGATCGGTAATTCTTGTGAAACAGTTGATTCTTGCTCAGAAAATTTGGAATCGATATCCTGTTCATGAGGGTTGGGTGCCTTGTCGGTTATTTCCGGATCGACGGTATCTTGTGGAAAGGACAATTCTTTCTCTCCAGCATTTTCCTCAAATAGCAATTCTGATGAATCGCTTGGTACTGGACGATATTGTGACTCAACTACAGGCTCTTGTCGAAAAAGTACTTCTGGTTCAAATGATTCCTGTTCGATTGGTGATTCTGGCAAGGCAATTTGTTCTGGCTCGACAGTCTTTCGTCCAAAAGGCCATTCTGAATAGTTCACCAATTCGGGATGTGAGCTTTTCGGTTCGACATGTTGCTCTCGTGAAAGACTTGGTTCTTCAACGATATGATTTTCAGAAACGAGCTCCTGTTGAGATGAAACTTCTGGTTCAGATACTTCCTGCTCAATTGGTGATTCTGGCAAAGAAATTTGTGCAGGCTCAACAACGTTTTGCTCCAGGGGCGATTCTTGTGGAATGAGCAGCTTAATATCCGAACTTTGAGGACCAGTTGCACGATCTTGAATAATAGGTGCTTCTTCAACAACCTCTGGCTCAGTTAGAGACTCTTGTGGAAAAGACAATTCTTGCTCGAATGATGTTTGCTCAATTGGTGATTCTGGCAAAGCAATTTGTGCTGGTTCGGGAATGTTGAGCTCGATGACTGGTTTCTCTACAACAATTTGCTCTTCCTCTGGTATTGGCTCAACGACCGAGTTTTGTACAAGACTAGATTCAAAATTGGAAATTTCTCGCACAGTTTCTAGCTCTTGCTGAAAAGTTGGCTCTTCACTGCTGATTGAAGATTCAACCGTCGATTCTTGCGGTAAAAAGCTTTCTCCGTTTTTGGTTTCTGGCTCGAGTTCCTGTGATTGAGGCGCCTCCTCGTCATCAACAATTGAATTGATCATTGCATTTTGCGGTAGGAAAGTTTCTTCGTTTACAGTTTCCGGCTCGATGATTTGATGCAGTACTAGGGATGGCTCCTCGAGGCTTTTTGGTTCGCTTGATGATTCTTGTTGTACAATTGGTTCCTGTGGTGTGAGGTCATCTTCCTTGAAATTTTCAGACTCAACAGTTGGTCCATGAGAAATGTTTGTCGATGGTTCTGATGCAATTGACTCGATTACTGGCTCCATAAATACCTTGGGATCTTCCTCTGTGTGTTCCTGCTCAAGGGCATGTTCTTGAAGCTCTGTTGGTTGCTGGACGATCTCTCTGACAGTCTCCGCAGGTTCTATGCCATGAAGTTCCTCTTCTGAAGCTTGATTGATTGGCTGGGAAATTTCGGTCATTTCTGACGTGCTTTCCATAGGAAGCTCAAATGATGGACTTGTGTGAAGAGATTTGCGGTCCTTTTCGTCCTCTTTTAATTCTATGACTGGAGCATCTGGAGAGTTTGTTTCTGAGAAGTCTGTGATATCTTTGGATCCAGATTCAAGGTCATGTTGTTCAAGAGGGATGTCCAAAACCGACTTGGGAGTATCGTCTTGTTTAACCTCAACATCGATCAGATTGGGACTAGATATATTCTCGTTGGCCGTTTGCACGCTCTCTGGAATTGACTTGGTGGAGTTCGGAACGGTTTCTTGGTTTGATACATCGCCGTCCGGTTGAATTGGTAAAGGCTCCAGTGGGGCTTGGGAAGTAATATCTTCAGAGTCTAGAATAGGTACTTCAGACTTTTGCTCTTCCCTTTCTTTCTCGGATTCCTCGGTTGGAACCTCAGCAGGTGGCTCGACATGTTTTTCTTGGAGAATGTGTTCAATCTCGTCGGAGATACTTGGAGTTGTAATGTCCTCTATCGGTTCGATGCCCTTCTGTTCGGTCTCTGGGTCGATCAATTCTGAAAGAAACTCGGCTTCCTGTGGCTTGCTGAACATCACTTCTTCCGAAGATCTATCAACTGGAGGTTCTGAAACAACTATTCTTGCTTCTTCCGTTGTTGGCTCGACAGCTTTTGTTTCGCTTTCGAGGAGTGGGTCTGACGAAAGAGACTCTTCGGCCAATAGCACTGGTGTAGCAGACTTGCGCTTTTTCTCATCTTTTCTAGACCTCTTTGGTGAGACTGGAGCAGGTTCTTGGGAAGACTTTTCTAGAATGGGAGAAATCGGTTCTGGAAATTCCAATGTTCCTTTGCTTGCAGGAATCTCAATGTCGGAGGGGGTTTCAATCGTCTTCTCCACAGCATCTGGAACTGGTTCAAGTGCTTCCGCAAGTTCATGACCTTGATGCTCGATGTCCTCGGTTGGATTCATCACAATGTCTTCCGGCAGTGGGATTGATGCTGCATGCTCAGAATCATCTAGGTCTTCAAGACTCTTGGGCACCTCGATCTCTGGTTTGATAATTGTTTCCTCAGGAATTTGGATTGATGGACTAAGGTTAAGAGATGGCTGTAGATTCTCGAAGCTTGTGGGTTCGTCAAGTTCGATACTCTCATTGATATCATCCTCCGGAAGTGGTACAGAAGCAGGCTCTAAGACATCACGACTTTCTGGCTCGATGGTCTCAACTGATCTTTCGAGCGGCTGCTCCAAGGCTTCGCGATCGCTTGATTCTGTGGTTACGAAAGGCTTTTCTAAGATTTGTTCCTCAACAAGAAGAGTTTGTTCAGGCTCTTTGGCGACTTCGATTGGCACCTCAGGCTCTGACTGGGACTTGTTTCTACTCTTCTTGTTTTTCTTGTTTTCCTTGGACTTCTTAGTGATGGGTAAGGTCGATTCATCTTGGACTTCCGTTTCCTCGGCAGGATCAATCTCGCATGGCGCTTGAACTGTTTCAATTTTTGTTGCAGGTTCAGTAGATAGGAGAGTCTCTTCATCAGTATGGCTTGGCTCGAAAGTTTCCAGAGTTCCTGACTCCTCCCGTGGAATAACTTGCTTCGTCAAAGACCCGTCGACACCCTTATGAGTTTCCTCGAGAAGTGGCTCTTGTGGTAAGAAAGACTGATCGTTGTCATGACTTGGCTCAGCAACTTCAACCTCTCTCGAATCTTCCTCGAAGACAATGTGACTTGGTGAAGTAAGCTCATCAACAGTGTCTGGCTTCTTAACTTCAATAGCATTGTCCAACTCCTCAGAAAGAGGTTCAACTGACAATCGAGACTCTTGAAGACTTGCATCTGGTTCAACATACACGACGGATGCCATGATATCATCTTGAATCGATTCATTTGGCAAGAAAAGTTCATCAACCAAGCTTGGTTCAGAAATATCGACATTCTTCGGGGGTTTCTCGAGAGTGGATTTATTTGGTGGAGAAGCCTCATTATCAATCGCGCTTGGCTCAGTAACAAGGTCAAATGATGCTTGTGGTGAATTATCATCATCCTGAATAACCTCGCGAGGAACATCCGAGGACTCGTTTGATCTTTCAAGCGTTGCTTGCTCCGGAGTGTCTTCCGAAAGGGGTTCCGGAACGAAAATATTTCCTTGGTCAATCGAGTGAGGAGGTTCCGATGATTTGCTGTGGTTCTCAACAATTGGTTCAGGAATGTGCTCAGGCCGTGGTGGTGAAGTAAAAAGATCCTCCTGAATAGCCCCACGATCGAGTTCCTCGGGTTCCCTAGGGGTTTCGACAACTGGCTCAGGGGCATCTTCATTTGACACTTCGGGAGCTTGACTCTCTTCCAGAGTAGGTTCGCGTTGAAATTCAGAAGGCTCGCTACTGCTTTCAGCAGATGGCTCATGGATTTCCGGTGCTTGAAGCTCGGGTTCCTTCTCAATAACAGCATCTCTCGACACATCTGCCTCTTCCTTTGACATTTCTTCCGACACAGGGGATTGCGAACTTCGGCGTTTCTTCTTATCTTCCTTCAATTTCATGTTTGGAACCTCAATCATGGATTCAGTGTTTTTCGCTTCTTCAACTGGTGTATCGATAATTGGCTCGGAAGTGAATTCATGAGATTGTTCGATGAAAGCTGGCTCTGCCTTTAAGGCCGGAGTTTCTGGTCCTTGATTGGCGGATTCCCTAGCTCTGAATGCTTTGGAGGCCTCTTCGGATATGAACGATTGTAAGCTGAGACGTTTCTTGCCCTTCTGTCTTTTAGGTGATTGGTCATCTTGTACATCCTCTGTCGATTGTGTGACTGATGGCTCCATGATATTTTGAGCAATTTCTTCCTTGGGCTCAATGGGTAAAGGATCTTCCTCGATGATTGTACTTGGCACTGACTCGAGATCTCGCTTGCGATCTTCTTGCCCTTCTTTGAATTTGTCTTCGAGTTTTCGTCTGCCAGAGCCCATTCCTCAAGTTCCGTAGTAGGCGACGGTGCTTTGACAGGTTCAGTCTCGATGACCTTTGGCATGGCGGACTCAGACACAACGCGTGGTGTAGACATAAAAGATTCGGATGCAGCGCGTGCTGTAGATGGTCTTGGAGGGAGTCCTTGCTCAGCAGCGGCAATTGCGGCCTTGTCCTTCTTTTTGCCCCATCCCAAAGCTTGAACCATTTCCAAAACACCCTTCTTTCTTCCTGTCAAAGGGCCCATGAGGCCAGAAAGTCCTGCTGTCATCGGTGCATCGTTAGAAGTTTGCTCTTTCGCGGGGATCGTAATAATTTGTTCCACAGGCATAGTATTTGGCTGTTCAATTGGCATTTCGATATTGGACGACTCGCCAGTGGGTTTGATGTCCTTGGCAACGGCATCTTCTTCAATTGAATCCTGTACTTGCTTGTCACGCTTGTTCTTATCTTTCTCAGACTTCTTAGGAGGTGCAGAAAATTCGATTTCACGGTCTACAGTAGGAGGCTTCAGAGGTGTGTCCGGAATTTCTTGCTTAACATCAGCAGATTCTTCTCCTTGTGCCTTGTCTTCCTCAATGTTGGCTTGGTCCACATTCTCGGAAACAGAAACTTCCTCAATGGGTGTCGGTTCAATCATATTGTCTTGACTCTTGTCACTAGTAGCAGATTCCGGCGTAGAGTCGATGGCAATAGAGGCTTCATCGGGACCTTGCAAATGCTCAGGCTCGAGGTGCTCTGAAGAGGCATCTACAGGCGTATTTTCTTCCGAAGTACCGGGTGTCTTCATGTCTTCGGAAGGATTAGATGCAAGCAAACTGTCGAGATTCTCCTGTTCCTTGGACTCCTTGCTTTGGGTCTCTACCTCGGGTTCTGGTGCTGAAATGATCGGATCAATGGGTGTCATTTCGGTCGTTGCTGGCTCTGGAAAATCCTGGTCGATATGCGTATTTTCGATACTCTCTGACTCTTGCACCATTGTGGAGGTCTCTTCCAAAGGAGTCTGTTCCTTGATAACGTTCTCGACGGGGACACTGTCCTCGGGCATTTGTGGCTTCTTATCAGCTTGGGCAATCTCCTCTGGTTCTTCAAGTATAGCTTTGATCGCTGGATCCTCGATAATCTCTGCCTGAGGGGTAGGGACATTTGTTGGCTCGTCCAAACCCTTGATAGCATTATCTGAGGAAGAAATATCAGAAGGAACCTCTTCGATTTGATCTTGATTAGCGTGCTCTTCACTTTTATCGTCTCTCTCATGCTTGCCACTACCAAATTCGAGTTCCTCCTTCAAATCCTTAAAAAGCGCTTGTTGGTCATCTTTGTATCCAGCTTCGAATCCACCCGGAGCTTCAGTCTCATTGGAAATGGGCTTCTCTTCCTCTTGAATCTCGATTGCAGAAATTTGATCCCGTTCTTCTTGTGGTGGATGATTCTCTTCAATATTATCTTCAATCTCCGCAGGTAACTGGCGAGGGAGAGATGATTCATCTTCTTGAGAGCCGGCTGGAAGTCCATTGAATTCAGTGACATCCTCTCCAATATCTTTAGAAACATCCTCGATCACAATTTCTTGTGGCTTCGATTCCTCTTGTGATTGGTTTTCAAGTCCGAGTTGATTATCTTCATGTCCAGCAGCAAGGCTATCAGAACCATTCTTATCTTCAAAAATATCATTGGACTTCAACTGTTCTGCACCAATTACAGTATCTCCGGCAGTGATGATTGGCAGTATTGTTTCTGCAGCTGGAAAGTAGTCCTTTTCATTTGATGAAAAGATTTCTTGTGCGCCAGCAGTCCATGGAGTAGCAGGAGTGATTGGCCATCCACCAGGTCCAACCATTGGTGTTGGTTTCTCTGACACATCCTCTGGAATAGGACCAGAAATTGTCGGTTCCACTGGTCCTTCTATCTCTGCAGTCTTACCCTTTTTGCTCTTCTTTCTATTCTTCTTCAAAGAAGGAGAGGCGATAGCGTGAGTAGTATCATCAAGGTTCGGCGTGTCTTCAAGAGTAAAAGCTTCTGGTAGTTCCTTTTCTTGCACTTCAGGTACTTGCTCCTGCTCTTGAGTGACATCAATTGGGTCCTGCTCGACATTCGCAATCTGTTCCTTCTTTGCCTTTCTCTTGTCCTTCTTGCTTTTCTTGGATTTTGGAGTTGAGAACTCTTCAATTGGCTCAACATTGACAGGCGTGGTAGGTTCTGCTTGAATGGGTTCTTGAACTAATTCTTGAGACAAATCTAGATGATTTCTCGTGACATCTTCAGATTGGGACAGCTCAGCCTCATTGAGCTCGGGTTGTACCACAGCTTGTTCTGATTGTGGATCAAGAGGAATCGGTTTAGATTTTTTCGACTTCTTCTTATCTCTTTTCGATTTGGGGCTAGCAGACTCGGAAACTGTGGGCGTGATATCACCAGAATTTTCAGGCAGTGCAGAACCATTGAATGCTTGTGCCTCGGGGCTGGCTAGAGGAGAAGATGGCTGGGAAATCTCGCGGGAAAGCTCTGGCGATACCTCAAGTGATGGTTCTCGTGTTGGAACTTCAATCACAGATTCAACGATTGGCTCAGTAGTGAGTCCTTCCAGTCTGAGAGCATCAGCTTTTGCCTTCTTCTTGTCCTTCTTGGACTTGGGAACAGAGAGTTCCTCGATCTGGTCAATCTCAACTGAAGGCAAAGCTTCTTCCATTTGGCCAGATTCCTGCACTTGCTGTTGCGGTTCATCAACCGATTTGTCAATTGGAAGGGTTTCATCCATAGGTTTGAGAGGCTCTACGCTGTCCACATGTCTTGTCTTCAATTCGGGCTCGAAGGATAGAACATTATTGTCTGCTTTCTCGTGTACTTTCTCCTCTTCGGAGTTCTGAGTAGGATATTCAATAAGTTGAGCCTCGGAGGTAGCTGCTTGTTCGATAAGATCTCTATCCGGTCCAGTCACGTCATCTGGTTCACTTGAAGCATAGTCGGATTTTGGTCCTTGTGTATCCTCTTGACTAGGACTTTCGCTTTGGAGTTCCAATCCGGGCTCCTGAGATAATGCAGCTGTTCCATTCTTACCCTGATTGTTCTTGGACTCTGGTGTAGAGAAGTTATCTACGGACTCGACATTGTCCCCTTCAACTGGATTGGAGAGTTCTTGAATGGGCTCCGGAGTATTCTCGGCTTGGTCATGAATGTCATCTGATTCAAGCGTCAAACCTTTGCCCTCATTTTTCTTGAAATTTGACAAAGGAAATTCTTCGGTCTGTTCGACCTCCTCTTCAATACTCATGGTTTGATTGCTCGAAGCTCCACTTAAGTTTTGCAATGTCTCCTCCCGTTCGGAGGGCATGTCATGTGACTCAGATGAATATTCTAAATTGTCGTTTCCACTCTTTTCCTGGATGTCTTGAGAAGACCTTGGTTCCTGTTCATCGCTTGTACCATGAGATGCAACAGCAAGGCCGGCTGCAGTTGCAATTCCTGCGGCTCCAATGGCTTTAGCTACTGTTTCAGATGATGATTGTTCATGAAATGCACCAGAAGATAAAGTTTGTTTTTCTTCCAGTGAGGGGAAAGAATCTTGAAGAAACTCCACTGATGGCGCTAAGTCCCTTTTAAAAGCAATCGCAGTCGGTGTGGATTCTCCGGAGGTGTGATCATCGGAGGGGAGGTTGGTTGAAAGTGGGTCTAGTGAAGGGCGGTGAAGGTCCAATTTTTCCAAAAAGCCCGATTCGGGTAGACCCGCCACGTCAAGCTCTGAATTGGTTCGGGACGGCGGTAAATGTGGGAGCGGGTCAATTAACTCTTCTGGCACAAACGACCCACGTCTGTTAGTCTCTAATAGATACAGGGGCTTGAATTCCTTGGTATTATCCCATGACATAGGTCTTGATCTAGATCTTGGAATTGTGGCTGATTCTGCAATTGGAGAGGGATGAAAAGTAGGAAAGGGCGTATTACCAGTAGATCTCGTTATAATAGGTGAGGCCAGATTGGATCGGTTTCCCATGACGAATTTTAATGGCACGGCACTTTGGCTTGGAGATTTTACAGGAGTCTCCTGCAAACTCTTACGATTTCGCGGAGTCTTCTCCCTTGGCGTACTTACAGTCCGTTTTTCAGATTCAGGTGTTGTAGGTCGACTTTCTGGAAGTTTGGGCAGGTCATCAATTGGTTCACAATTAGGTGAAACTGAACCACTTGGCGGCAATGGTAAAAGATCTCCATATTGAGGGTCAATTGAGGGTCTGATTTGTCGTTCGATAATCTCTGGATCCAATATATCTTCCTCTCTTTCCAGCTTTCCCATATCCCCCGTACTTCCCTCGCTATCATTATTATTAGCGGCATGTTGCTGTTGGTGCTGAGCAGAAATTGCAATTGCACCAGCAGCAAGGCCGGCACCCGCGCCAAGGATGCCGGCATTATCTAAAAAAGAACCCTTCTTCGAATCTGAACTTTTACTCCTCTTCCTCTCTCCATCATTCCTAGAATCTTGCACACCATCCTCACCGCGTGTTTTGTGGCCATTAGTCTCACTTGAAACCAGTTGAGAATCACTGAAAGATTGGCCCTCAGTTATTCCATCTGACGTTGAACTCCGTTTTTTCTTTTTCTTCTTGACATCGTCAGGATCATCACGGCTTCCTTTCCTTAGTTCCTCCTTTGCTGCTTCTGCCTTTGCACCACTAAAGAAACCAAACAATCCACCACTCTTCTTTGGCGTTGCTTCCTTTGTCTTCTTCTTTGAATCTTCATTATCGTCGCGAGTAGGTTCTGAAGCAATTGGTCGTGTAGCATCGTTATTTTCTTTGGTGGTGCTGCGATCCTTTCGGTTCTTTTGTGGCGAATCTTCTTCGTCCACCTTTGAGCTACTACCAGCTGATAAGATTGAACGGGATGAAGCCCACAGTGGATCATCACCATCTCGACGTGATGGGCGATCTGGCTCTCTTGATAGCTCCATATCTTCATAATTATCAGAGGCTGGTAATGAGATTTGTGAAGGGTCAGGAGAATCATAACGTTCACTCTTGCTTCCCAATTTCTCCTTTGACTTTCTTCTCAATGATCTGCCAGATTCGGAGTCAACCTCTGGAGGGGGTGAGTCAAATCTAACACTGTCGCGCTTCGACTTTCTAGGGATTCTGGATTCGTCGCCACTTTTGATATCATCCATGGAGAAGGTCCTGCGACTTTCACGCAATGGAGACTCGACTTTGCCGTCGTAAGTTGATGAGCGCTTGCTAGATTTCCTTTTTGGTTTTGAATCAAGGTCGATATCTTCATACGTTGATGATCGAGATGACTTTTTGGGCTTCTTGGGAGTTTCAACAGGCTCAACATAACTTTCCGGTTCTTCGACTATTTCGCGGTTTGGCAAAATATCAACAAATGAAGATTCTTCCCTCAGAAGTGATTGTGTTCTCACTTCCTCCTTGTCACGTCTCCTTGATTCTTTTTTACTCTGCCTAGAGGGATCAAAATAGCTTTCAGGTTCTTCAACAATAACATCAGTGATTGGCGATGCTACATCACCACCACTTCGTCTCCGTTCTTTTTCAAGCCTTTTCTGTTCTTTCCTAGTAAGACTGGGTGATTCTTCGTTGGCAGGCGATACACTCGACCAATCTTTTGGAGTTTCTAGCACCTCGCCCATGACAAAGCCACGATTTGAAGAGCTTTCGCCGGGAATGCTTGAGAGATCGTCGATGGATTCTGCCCATGGCGTTTTGTATTCATTAGAACCAGGTGGGGAATCACGTTTTCGGAACGCGAGGTCGTCAACCACGATGTTAGGATCGAAGCCACTATCTTGCAACCCAGCTGCCACTGTTGCAGTGAAATCCAAATCGTCGTCGAAAGCACCAGGCATATGTGAAGTTCGTGGCGAAACGGGCTTGGGACCGACGCTTGGTGGGCTATCTCTTCTCGTATGCTGGGATGAACTTTCCCTTCTGTTTTCTCGAGGTGGGCTTTCACTTCTCATTTCTCCATGTGGACTCTCGGGCTCTACCGTCACGCCTCGGTACAGACTGTCTCTGTCCACATCTCGAAATGTTTCTCCGTATGGACTCTCGGGCTCTACCGTCACACCTCGATACAGACTGTCTCTTCGCATATCTCGAGGTGGACTATCTCGCCTCGGTTCTCCGAATGGACTCTCAGGCTCTACCGTCACGCCTCGGTATTCATAAGGCCTTTCGTTGCGCTCCTGTTCCCTTGCTTTCAAGATTCTAGCAAGTTCACTGACTTCGGCACGCTTGGGAGATTCCGGTCGCTCACTTTCCCTTTCCTTCAAAATTCTAGCAAGTTCACTGATCTCAGCTCGCTTGGGAGATTCCGGTCGTTCACTCTCCCTAGCTTTTAAGATCCTAGCGAGCTCACTTACCTCGGCTCGCTCAGGTTTCTTGGGAGATTCGGGTCGCTCCTTTTCTCTTTCTTTCAGAATTCTGGCAAGTTCACTGATCTCAGCTCGCTTAGGAGATTCGGGTCGTTCACTCTCCCTAGCTTTTAAGATCCTGGCGAGCTCACTTACCTCGGCTCGCTCAGGTTTCTTAGGAGATTCAGGTCGCTCAGGTCGATTAGGAGATTCACTCGAGCCTGCTACTGCGGCACCCACACCTGCACCAATAATGCCTGCTGCCATCGCGGCCCATCCGCTCGGAGATTTTGGTTCAGTTGGCGACTCCAATTTTGGCTCTGAAAATCTCGGCTCTGAAAATCTTGGCTCTGAAAACCTTGGCTTCTCAGGAGTTTCTGGGGATGAATCGGAAATGTACTCATCCCTTGGTTCGGTGGGACTTTCAACTTCAAAGTGTTTTGTCTCGTTTGGGCCCCAGGTGACAGCTTTTGAGACTGTGGACTGCGTGGGAGATGGAACAGAAACATCAGATGAGCGAATAAGGTCTCCCCTTGGACCAATAATGATGGGAGGAATGTCTCTTCTATCACGTTTTGGGCGATCTTGATCATGTGACTCCTCTTTTGATCGGTATGATGTAGTCTGCTCGCGGATCTGTTCGCGGATCTGTACTGTATCGCTAGGCTTATCTTGTGATCGATATAATGGAGTTTGTTCACGATCCTCAACTTGATCTTTGGGTTGGGGTTGGGCTGGCTCGTCTTGCGATCGTATAGAAGGTTGTTCACGCTCTCCATCTCTATCCTTGGTCTTGGAATTACGTTCAGGTTCAGGCTCAGGTTCAGAACGGCGACTTTCAACTGAGCGATCATCCGACTGATTAGAACTATCCTTCTTCACATTTCCATTCTTAGCCATGGTGGCAAACTGTTTCTCGGGTGATGGTGTTGAAGTAGGAGTGGGCCGAATCAAATTCAACATAGGTCGAGGAAGTTTAGCATCCGCATCCTTTGTCATGAATGGACCCTTCAAATCAGATTCATCAACCTTATATCGCCTGCTTGGAATGCTGTAGACTTTTAGATCTCTAGGTGTCATGATATAATCAAGCTTGAAATCAGCATTTGGTGCATCATAGGGACCTTTCTTGCGTTCATGCATGCCGGGAGGAGTGACAATTCGTGGCGGTTCTTCTTCTGGCTCTTCTTCGTATTTGTTCATCACAGAGCGCTCAGGTGATGGAGTGCGAGAGCGGCGGACTTCTGCAGCAACTTTCCTAGCCATGAGAATTTCACGATAAGCTCGATCCGCTTCTGCCATAACTTCATCGTGCGATTGTCCCGGGGCTTCGGCAGAATCACCGCCCTTTGAAAGATCCTCAAAGTCAGTTCGTCTCTCTCCTCGTCGTTTCGATGATCTTGATTCTCGGCGACTTTCCCTAGCCAAAGCGGCGGCGGCGGCGGCAATAGCTGCTGCCTCAATAGGGGCTGTAGAATGTTCAGTTTCTTCATAGATCATCTCGGCATCATGAAGGGTTCTAGCATGTTCTTTGTATCGCTGTTCCTTTTCAACCTTGATGGAAATCTCAGTGCGCGATTCGGAGCGTGAGATAGAAGATGATTCTTTGATCGATGAATTTTGCTTTCGATTGAAATCCGGTTCGCGTTCGACAGTAACAACAGCAGGTGCAGATTGATCTTTAGCTTGACGGCTAGAGCTTTCCTCGCGAGGAGGTGTGTTTGCAACCTGATATTGGAATGGATCCGTGGGTGTGCGAGCCATTGCCGATATTTCTGAGAGTACGTGGGCTCGGCGCTCTTCATAGTTGTCTTCGATGCGATCAGGTGCACGTCGCTCTTCGCGTCTCTCTCGTCGCCTTCTCTCTCGCTCCTCTGCAGCAGCATCGGGATCATCACGACTCCTTTCTCGATTCTTATCACGATCAGAATTAGAAGTGGAGCTTCTAGAATCATCTTTTCTTCGCTCCTCGCGACGTTTCTCTCGTTTTTCATCCCAAGTGAGATTACTATCAGCGATAGAAGATTGATCATAATCGCGACGGCGCTCTTTTCGGTCTTCATCTCGAGGTTTAGAGACGCTACTGTCGGCAATTGAGTATTGATCCTCCTCGTAGCGTCGCTCTTTTCGATCGCTCTCTCGTCGATTAACAGCGCTTTCACTATAGCTCCGGTTCTCCCTTCTATCATCATCACGGTAACTCTCATTTTCATCTCGACGACCAGATGCAATTGCAGCTCCAACAGCGGCTCCAGCTACGCCAGCTAAGGCCGCGCCAGCTAAAGATTTAGATCTACCAGAAGAGCTTTTCAAGATCCCGCCAGATTCTGAACGAACGTAGTTGGACTCGTGATAAACACTATGAGAAACCGGAGTGATGGGTTGAGGTTGCTGAATTGGAACTGGTGCAGGTCTAGAGGCATTGTATTCGGACGAAGATGCTCGCGCCACATCGAATCGAGAGGGATCATTGGTGGGGACTGGGAAGACTTCTTGAAGAGGGGTCTGCGAACCACTTCCAACACTTTGGGTCCTGCTTATCCTGACCCTTTCGTGCACATACAAAGTATCCACCTGTCTGTCTGGATGACTGTAAGGAATGTAAGTGTGTTGACCAAAGTCACTACCCGATTCCCATTGCACGTCTTCGAAGCCTACAGCCCTATCTGATAAATACCCATTGAGGGAATTCTCTGGCCCAAGAAGTCTTGGATCGACCACGTTACTCTTTCGACTCTTTGGGCCGTGGGTCTTCTTGCGTCCGAACAAGCCAGCCTGGCTTTTCTTGCCAACATGACTACCACCTCCGAACGCCAAACCAGTATCAACACTTGAATCTGACTCGTCCTCAGAAGCTGATTCCCATGCCTCATCATCATTAGGGTCGGTTTCGTATGGAATAGCCTTGGAAGGTGGAAGGCCACGCTCGTCCCTTCGGCTAGAAGTAACGGGTTCAGGAACACCGCGCCCGTTCTTACCATTCTTGGCGTCTTTGTTGGTATGGTCGAGTGCAAGTTTGGCAAGTCCAGCGATTCCAGCACCTAAAGCCAAAAGTTCAGCATCTGTAGCTGGTCGTTTCGAGCTTGCAGGTCTGTCATTCGTGGGAGATCGAGTATCTCTCAAGTTTTCCTTGCTAGACTTATATCCTATGGTTTCCCACTGCCTGTCTCTGCCATCCCTAGCTCTCACACTCCTCTTCCTTCTGTATCTGAGAAATCCGGTTCCATAAGCTAAATCTTCATTCAAAGAGGAGCTTGATGAGGTATTGTGTTTCGTCAATTTCTTGCTTTTCTTCTTCTTCTTCTCTTTCTTCTTCTTAGAATCAGACTTTTCGGAAGGTGTCGAGAAGAAAGACCTGAAACTAAATCCTTTTGTAGGAAAATGGCGAGAGATATCGAGGTACGAAGACGTAGATGATCCTGATGTACTCAAATATTCCGTAGGTCGCGGCCCGTATTCCATTCCTGAAGGTTGGCGCATTCCTCGTTCTCGTTCAGATTTCTCGCGCTCCATCATTTGTCGTTCATTTTCTCGTGCTCGTTCTGGATCATAATATTCTGCTACCGTGATTGTATTCTCTTTATCATATGGTCCTGTTCGTGATGGATCCATGGACATGGTAGTTGCAGTGGTATCGTAATGAGCAGTACGTGGCGTATCGGGATGCGCGATAGAGCTTTCCATACCCGGATCGAATCGAGCAGTTCGCGGTGTGTCAACAGACATAGTACTCTCAGCAATATCATATCTTCCTGGCCTAGGAGCGCGACCTTCGGCATAGCTTTCTCCGCCATTAAATCGCCCGGTTTGTGGTGTGCCACCATTGTAAGAGCTTTCTCCGCCACGATAGCCTGCAGCTCCCGGTGTAACTGCTGGACGCCCTCCAATCGCACTCTCTCCGCCATAATAATGATCGTGTCTCGGTGTCTCTGCTGAAATAAAACTCTCTCCACCATCATATCCTGCAGTTACTGGTGTGTAAGGTGTGTAGGGTGTGTAGGGCGTCATGGGCGTGTTTGGGGGCATAGACCCGTATCTCCTATCATTTGGTCCGCGACCCGAAACTGAGCTCCCCTCTCCATCAAATCCTAAATTTGGAGGCGCGCGTCCATTATATCCTCGTGCTCCATTACCATTCCCACTTCCATATCCATTCCCTCTCTGCGCAATCGATGGATCTCCTCCTGTGCCATATCGATCGCGTTTCTCAGCCATTATTCCGTACCCTGAGGTAGGGACTTCTTCTTCTCAACTTCAGCTCCGGGGTTTGTATTCATTCGTGATCATATCATTAACATATCATCCAGTTTCGTAAATGACTTCGTCAATCGGAAATCGTCGTTTTGTAGCTTATCCAAATTCGTTATCAATTGTGTTCTTAAGGTTTGGCGATTCGCAAAGGTAAATTTGATTAAGTTTGATGCTCTAGATGATTGAACTAAGGAGGGGATGGGGACGCAGATGATAGCTTGTGATAGTCCAAAATCTGGCTCCTTTAGATAAAATTTAGAGATTGCGTTTCTTTAGCTAGGGAGGTAGAAAAGTCGAAGTGGAGAGGTAGCGTAGCCGTGGTGAATTGTGGTAGACCAGGTGTGGACAATGGACCACAAGATGGGGCGGGCTGTAATTTTAATTAAGAGGCTGGAGAAAGGCGCCAAATGGAAAACAATCGGGGATCAAGCGAATCTCGACTTTGGATTTTAGTGATGTTTAGTGGTGTACCGCTGGGTAATCCTTGATTGAACGCCACAAGTAATGTTGATCTTGGAAATGATTTTTTCATTCAGCTGAAGTTTGATTTCTTGATACGAGATTCGTGGCTTGTCAAGTCAACATGGGGAGAGAGAGAGAGAGAAGAAAAAAAGAAGAATAAATCAATTCAAATGATCGTTGATAGAGTGAATCGTTATTGCTGCTGTTGCTCTTGTTATCGTCGTTGTCGTTGTCGTTGTCGTTGTCGTTGTCGTTGTCGTTGTCGTTGTCGTTGTCGTTGTCGTTGTCGTTGTCGTTGTAGTCGCCGTCGTCATAACACAAAAGAGAGCATCGACGTGATGAAGTACAGTCGAAGAAAACTACCAAGCACTGAACAAGTATTGTAGTAAGGAGTCTTTCTTTTGAGATGGAGTCTGTCTCTCGTTTCTTAATACAACCTTTCCATCCCTTTAGAGCTACATTGTTGTCGGTGGGTTTCCCTCGATGGATCCCCAAGGAGACCCCGATTATTTACAGTTTTCAACATTTGAGGGCGGTGAATCTCAAAGCCTCTCATTGAGTTCTTCACCTTACATGAGAGATGCTCTTGGATGATTGGATTCGGAGTTCGAGATGACGAACTTGCTTCTTACCTGTACCTAGATTGAGTCGAGTTGCATTTGTTCCATTCAAGCTGAAATATTCATCCCATCGATCAATCAATCAATCAATCAACGAATCTTCACTTCCAATCTCCCTCCAATACATGTTCACACCCATTGCAAGTAGCAACTATCCGACCCATTCTTTTCTACCCGGCGCCAGTGATGCATCTCTCCCAAATGTGGCAATCACCTCTCTCTCCTCCCCACCATATTGGACCAGCCAAAGCTCCTCCCTCGTGCAGTGAGTTAAGTGCACGGGTATGTAATAATAGTGGATAGCGTGGGTCAAAATCACGACTCGGTGTACTATTTAATTGAACCTCAAATTCACGATAACCTCTCAAGTACCTCTCAGTCGCCTACTCAATTTCACCACCATCAATCAAGAACCAGCCAATTTAAAATCTTACATTCAACTACGAAAAAGTCCCTCCAAAGTCGGAACGTATAGAAAACCATGAATTGGACATGATCTACATCTACGTGTCAGTTTATGCACAGGATGCACAAAATATGCACTGCAACATTACCGAGCTCAAAATGCCAGCTCATAGGTTGATGAATGTGTGAGAGAATTCTAGATTATACATCGTGATTGTACAGGATTTAAGTGGAATTCATTTGTCCTCTACCCACTCGTACAGTTGGAAATTAATACTTCTAATGCAAAAAAATTAAGCTGAGAGATATGTTTTGCTTCCTGCGGTTTTGCTGTTTATCGGTCAAGTGCTTGAGATTGACACTGAGATTTGTAAGTACAATGAAGGTTGAATGGGCTTGAGGCGAAAGAATTTGAAGAGCATCTGAAGACTTACCACTTGATAATATACACCTTTCTTCCGTAACAATGCTGCATGATCTCCCACTTCCAATACCCTACCTTCACCCAACACAAAAATCACATCTGCATTCTGCACAGTGGCTAGTCGATGTGCTACGACAACCATTGTTCTACCTGTTGCCGCCCGTTCAAATGCCGCTTGTACGAGCTTCTCGCTCTCAGAATCTAGACTGGATGTTGCTTCGTCAAGAAGAAGGATCTTGGGATTGCGAATGAGCGCACGAGCTATTGATATCCGTTGTTTTTGTCCTCCTGAAAGAGCAACTCCCTTAGTTCCGACATTGGTATTGTACCCATCAGGGAGGGACATGATAAAGTCGTGAATTTCGGCATCGCGACAGACTTTATGGAGAGTTTCTTCTGGAGTCGACTCATCAACACCCAAATATATATTCTCTTTGATGGTACCTTCAAACAAAGTAGGCTCCTGTGCTACGAGCGAGATTATTTTCCGGTATTCTCGAACATCAAGTTCGGAGATATCGGTGTCGTTGCATAATATCTTACCCTTCTGAACATCGTAGAACCTTTCAAGGAGACTGACTAGTGTCTGATTTAGTAGATTATCTTCCATATGACAGATGTGAAATTACCAATTGATGTTTTTCCACAGCCTGAAGGCCCAACCAATGCAGCGAATTGGCCTTTCTTAATCTATGATAATCAGCATCCTCTTCAACCTTACTACAGATTTGACTTACCGTGATATTCAACCCAGTAAATATTGGAACGTCACGAGTAGGATATTTGAACCAGACATCTTTCAATTCTATCTTCACCCCGCCCTCTGTGTTCTGGATATGCGACGCTAAATTTCCAGTTACTTTTGCCGGTAGTCTAAAACTCAATATTCTGTTTGCTGCTGCCGATGCTTGTGCCATATCTATCGCGAGGTTAGTAACGAACAGAAGGGAGTTTATCAACGAAGCACTAACTAGGACCAAAACTCAGCAGACTTCCAGCGCTCTCGGCACCGTTTATTATAGCAATATAGACCACAAAAAAGTTGACTGGGCCATATTCTCTTGAAGCAAGGAGAGTGCCACCATACCACTAAAAGGCAACTCATATTAGCTTTGTGTTCGGATCAGTTCGGATTTGCAGTACAACAAGAGCAATCCCCTAGATCCAAGGATCATCTCATCCATTCAACCTTCAAGCTCGTATCTTAACGCCACAGCACCCTGGAACATGATAAATAAACTCACAAATGCTAAAGCCATACACCCCAATCCCAAACTCTCGCTAGCGGCGAAGATAATCGATGAATATCTGCTTTTCTTGGCGTGGCCCTTCACATGCCACTTCAGCAGCTCCTCGTAACGGGTGGAAATCATATCCTCCAAGGTCAACGAGGTGACTGTTCGAAATGCAGAGATTGCTTCGGCCGCAAATTTGGAACTCTCAGCAAAGACTGCTTGGTTCATCTTCTCAAATTGAATCTCATACCGAATGCGATAAAAGCTGCCACAAATCAATAAAGGAAGGGCGACAAAGGCCACCACGCAAGTCAGCTTCCAGCCAAAAACAAAAGCGATGATGATGCAACCAGTGATGTTACAAATCGCCGTCAGCACCATGGCCATATTAATGCCAAGTAGTTGTTGAAGTTGTGTTGGATCATTGGCGACACGACCAGTAAGTTCACCACTGGAGTTTTCCTCTGCGTCAAAAAAGGCAATTGGCTTATGTAAAATACTCTCAAAGTACTCTTGACGGTATGTGGAGGTGATGTGACCAGATATGATGGTTGATGAATAGCCCATGATGAACCAAGCCACACCAGCACCCAATCCAAGAACGAAGAACATCAAGGCGTAGTGTTCCGTGGCAGCCTTAAGTCTGGGTCCAGTCAATGAAAAGACTGAAATGATCTGTGCAAATAGATAGGCTTGAATAGGATAAGCGGCCCCAGCAGCTATGGCACCTATCACAAGCATCAAGTACCATTGCGATCGAGCACGTTGCTCATACAGGAAAAGTCCGAGACTTCTGACGAGACCCTTGGGTTTGTATGCCACTGCTTCTTTTTGTTCCTTTTCCTTTTCCGCTGCACTCATTTCCCGTACTAATGGGTCCACTGTCTCCACCAAATTAGATTCCTCTTGATAAACATCCCCTAAAGATAACTGTTGGGCATTAACGAGAGCACTATATGCGCCGTCCGGGTTAGAAAGTAATCCCTCATGAGTTCCCTCTTCGACAAGTTTTCCCTTCCTCAGGACCACAATCTTATCAGCCTTTTTGATTGTTGAAAGTCTGTGAGCAATCGTGATTGTTGTTCTACCCTCGCTCACTTTATCTAACGCTGCCTGAACAATCTGCTCTCCTCTTACATCGATTGCGCTGGTAGCTTCGTCTAAGATCAAGATCTTTGGTCGCTTGATGATACTCCTAGCAATCGCTAATCTCTGCCTTTGTCCACCGCTTAGCTTGATACCAGCATCGCCAACTTGTGTATCATATCCCAAGGGCAATTTAGTGATATACTCATCAGCAAAGGCTTCTTTACAAGCCTCTATGACAAGCTTCCTCTTAATTTCGGCATTTTCGAGTTCCCATTCTGAACCAATTAAACCATATTCAACATTTTTAGCTATCGTATCATTGAATATAAACGGCTCCTGTTGTACAAGGCCAATTTGTGTTCGCCACCATCTGAGGTCGAGGGATCTCAACTCGTTATTTCCACAGGCAATAATACCAGATAGAGCAACTGGGTCCTGTTTCTCGTCGTACTCGGGAGTATTTGGTCGTTCTTCTTCTTCTTCTTCTTTCTTTTTGTCTTTTTTCTCGTCTTTCATGGCGCTTGGAGGTATCACTATTCGTTGCTCCTCGAGATTGTACCATCTTTCTAAGAGACCTAGTCGTAGGCCATCAATAATTACTCGTGCAAAAAGTGCAAAACATCTGGGAATAGAATACAATACTGAAGAATACACATACCTACGATAGTACTCTTGCCAGAACCAGATGCTCCCACGATAGCCGTGATTTTACCAGATTCAAACCTCATC